TCATCTTCAGGAAGCTGCCAGGCTGGTGTCACGAAGCTCGGGGTGGCCTTCCAGAGTGACGCTCTGTACTCTTGTCAGGGAAGAGAGCCATGCCTTCAGGTATTCCTAGAAGCAAAGACTGAGTAGGTACGAAATCGTCACTGATGTTTGTACTTACCGGTACATTATGCATTAGGTGGGGACTGTGCCGTACATCTAAGATCAGGTGTTCAACCCCGTGCAGGCTTCCGATAGAGACGGCCGGTGCGCTGGAAGGAAACGGGCAAGCCGGGATTCCCAGTACCAATCTGAGGCGTGTCAGAGAGCGACCGCCTATGACACGCAAGCAGATATTCCAGTCCTCAAGCCACTGAGCCCATTGATGCTGTGCCGGTAGAACACTCCCATAATCAGGCGCAAGTGTAATCGCAGATAGCTCGTCCCAGTTTTGATTCTCCGACAGTAAGGTTGAGACTGTCTGAGGCGGGCACCACAGCTCCTGGATCGGGAAATACACGTTCGCGCGAATCGTGGGACAAAGCAGTCCAGGCCGTAGGACTCTGGGGTCGTAAGAGAGTCTTATAACTCTGATCTCGGGATGCATGACTAGGACGTGACACAGGGTTTTGTATTCCATGCCAGGGATCGACGCCTTGAATTCTTTGAGCTGAGGTATCTTGAGTTTTCTGAAAAAACTCTCCCATATTGAGGGGGCGACAGGACCCGAAACTCGAATCTCCAGGGATTGTATTTTATTTTTGCCAAAGTTCAGAGACGTAGCCAGAGCATCTAGCTGATTCTTGAGAGTGGATGTGTCAGAGAAGTCCGTGAAGGGAGCGCGGTCCGTATGGAATCTTATCGTGAGGTCCTTGATACGCCCTACATTCATGATGAAGCCCGCGACGAGAGGCAAGTACCTTATCACGAGCGGGGTCACAGTGAAAGACAGCCTGTCTAAGTGGCTCTGCTTATAAGCAAGCTCGTGGCCCTCAGTGAGCATGGGCAGTCGGCGTTCATCAACATCCAGAGATACCATAGTGGGGAAGGGAGAGAGTTGTATGTCGCTAGAGGTCATGTTGTTGAGAGACATTCATGGCAAGGACATGTCCGCACTTACCTATTTGTGCTTGGCTACAGAAAGAGTAATTCCGGAGACGAGGCGGGTAAGGGTCGGTAGTATCAGGAGGTGATGGGCAGAAGTCAGCAGAGGTGATGAGGTGCTGGACCTCCGGCACATCTGAGCGCGTCTTATATACGCTGGTCGTTGGCCACGACCACGGCGCACTTGTCGTACCATGTCAAAGAGAATACGTCAAGCGTAGGAGTTGTGCTAGTACAACTTACCGCGGTACCTCAAGCGCCAGGGCCATGAAATGGCAGCTGCCATGTTGTGGTACGTTGCTCATGCAGGAGGAAACCTGGCCCGAAAGAACTGGAAGTCAGCTGGTCGAGTGCAATGAGTTACGTCTTGCGCTTGGATAGGTCAAAGAGCAAGATGGTCGTCAGGAACGTCTAGCTTAGACCGCCGTTGATCCGAGTTGCGCGTCGTTCCGTCCGCAGGCTAGGGAAGAGCTTCTGTTCACTGCAGAAGACAAAGACTGCTTGATGTCTCAAAACCGCAGTTTGATTACCGAAATCAGAGGCGGATACCAGGATGTAAGTCAGTGGTCCATTAGCCACCGCCTTTAGACAGCGGCTAGCAAGTGCACCCTTTGGCCCTGCCCTTGCCGCGACCGGCACGCGGCACAGCACCATGCTAACAGCAAAGGGATCTCGTGAATGATCTTGCCACTCAACTTGGCAGCGCGCAGTTTCTTTTGCGGGGAATCAACGGTCAGTGAGCCGGAAGCCTGCTTCTGACCAGAACCCTCCACGCAAAGGGGTCTGAACCGCTTCATCGGGCTGAGTGACATTTTCAAGTCTAGCATGACTTTTCTTTGAAGGTGAGAAATGAATACAAAAGAGAAATATATTGAGGTCTGAAATGTCTCACCTGCACAATACGAGGAATATTTGCCCTGTAAAATCAGTACTTGCCTCGCTTTTGTTCGGTGGCAAAACGAACCTACTGTGACGTGACATCCCTCGGTATGACTATCACATCACACCCGGGCGCCTATTTTGCAGTAAACCCGGCGGCGTCATGGTATGTCAGTTAATCTGACAATGGCCGAGCACATTCGTAACTCAGTATAACATCTAGTCATCTGCTGCGTACCGGGACTGAATTAAAGGAAGACATACGGCAGTCATTTCGAGGTCGTATATGTTGGCGGCGATGGCGTGCGCGCGCCCCTTGAGCTCGAGACCTTGCTTGTCGTCCTTGCTATATGCTCTTAGGCGACCAAGACACTGCTTGCACACCAGTGCTAAATGTCTCTCGACACCGAAGACCGACTCTGGCAATGTTGCGTCTAGTAGCCCGCCCGTACCAGTCTATCAGGGCCCACTCTCCAGCACGTTTCGCCGACTCAAGATCTTCTCCTTATCCACCCTCGCCCTGTCCACTGTCATATCCCCCTTCATGTTCATCATCGAGTCTTCTCTTCCCGGAAGCGCAAGGGCTGCATTGGCGGGTACTGCGTTGGGCACCAGTGCACTGAGCACGGCCTTGGTTGGGTGGGTGGGCAAGCCCTACGTCACACAGCTGAAGCCGCTGCATCAGGTGCTTGACCCCGCGAAGGAGGTGACCGCGGTCGAGATGGTCACGTACACCTTTGCGCTACGCAAGCGGGTGACGAAGGTGTACGACACGTCGTTCCTGATCCCGGCGGAGCGCCCATTTGCGAGCTGGCGGCTCGCGAAGACGATGTTGTTCACCAACGAGGAGCTGGAGAATAAGATTCCGGAGGACGGGAAGGAGGAGACAGTTGCAGAGACCTCGGGCGAGGATGGGAAGGTGCTCGGTCGGTGGATTGTCAAGTGGGCTGTCCATCCGGAGCATGGGTCTGTCGTCGGGGATTGTCGTGCGGTTGGCAAGGTCGTACAGTGCGTGCAAACACTCTTCACCTCTCTTCTCCGCTGCAAAGAGTGATTCGTACAGGGTGTTTAATGTTCATGAAGATCTACTTGAATATCCTATTCGATAACATGAGACAACTTGGTACGTTCATTACAGTCTAAACATTTCACGGCTAAGTCTTTTCAACAGTGTCTGATGCGGATTCGTCCGATTCTTTTGATATTTATTCTTACCTTGATAGATCGAAACTATCCCAGTCAGTCTTCGCACGACGCCCGTATCCGTACACCGAAGCATCATCTATATCCTGCCTGACAAGGTAGCACGACAGATTCTTTACCCACTTGTTCTCCCCCGCTGTTTCCTTCACGTGCATGTGCGTGCGGCATTTCTGGTCTTCACCGGAGAGATGGCAAAAGTTTCTTTCAGCAAGCCAGGATCTTTCTGCCCTGGAGATGGTCGTCATGTTTGGCCCGTACAGTGCAATGCGATATCAACGGATATATTTCCAACTCCAACTACCTGAATGGTCTGACTCCCTCTACGCGCGCAGGTATCCCTTTCCATCCGATAACTCAATGTATATCCTCGTTAGACAGATGAAGGTTCTATCGGCGCCACTCAGCCAAGAACGAGGTGCGCTGCAGCAAAACACATGATGGATGTTGGGCCACTCCCCTGCCTGCCGCCTAGAGCCCCAAAAAAAAGAAGTCTAGCCTGCTCACGCTTTGAGTCTCCACTCATCCACCAGGCCGCGATAGTCTTGCACGGTGTAAGGTTGGAAACACTCCGCCACCCAATGACTCTTCTTGTGATGCTCCAAGCCCAGATCTCTGAGTAGCATATCGATGTACGGAATGGCGTCGAATATAAAATCGGGGTGGTCCTTCCCATATCCAGCCGGGTACCTCCACTTTCCGAACTGACTATGCAGCACCGTCTGCCACAGGATACTTTCTTCGGCAAAGCGCCACTGGACCTCTGATTCATTTGATGATTGATTTCCAGGAGACAGACTTCCGTCCAGATACGCCGTCAACCAAAGTGCCTGGGCCTGCGCTATCAGCGAAGTGCTGAGCGAAAGTACGAAGCCACTGAACGCTATGGATCTCTCTTGGAAGAACGCAGGTGGTACCATCCCCCGATATAATCGGTATGGTTCGAGTGGTTTATCGTAGGTCGAGGAATCTAGAGGACGATAAATAGGGTTGATCACAGGTTGGCGCCCGAGGCGCGGGAAGCGGGAGAGGATGTGTTCGTCTGCTTCATGGATAAGACGTGCGTGAGTCCCATCTGACTCGTGCGGAAGTCCTAGCTCTCGACTTATCCCCTCCGGTAGAAACTTGATTATGGGTCGCCTCTGCCACCCGGTCGAACAAATCAGTGCATCTGTACGTATGCTTTCGCCGGACGAAAGGTGCACAGTCCTCGAGGATAGACGCGTTATATCTTCGACATGGATTTTGACAGTTCCGTTCCGTATGTAGTCAAAGAAATCTGTGGGGTAGTTGAGAATACTGTATGAGTTTCCGACCCAAAATGCGCTAGTCCTCGGTTTCAACTTTTCCAGGTCCGGATCTTTGTCGTACCCGTTGAGAGAGCACACGTCGGCATCGATCAGACCCCAAAACTTGTCGACGAACCACCTCCCAATCCGAGTGTTATGCAACAGCCGGCGGACAAATCCAAACCCATCCGAGTCGCCCCAGATGCAGGGGCTGAACCAGGTGAGACATCGCGTTGTGGCCAGCTTTTCCAGCCATAGCTTGAACGGAGTCACATATGGCGGGGACATCCAGCATGGCCCGTGACCTGATTTACGGATTACCCAGTCGACGCGGACACCAGCGGACGCAAACGCGTACACGGCGTCCCAGGCGTATTTCGTACCGCCTAAGACCACGACATTGGTGGAGGCCTTGATGAGATCTTCCTCGCGTTCTGAAAGGTCTTTGCAATGAAGCAAAGGCGGGTCGAATTCACTCGCACCAGGGAAGTCGGGTAGGAACGGTTGTGAGGTCAAACCGACAGCTAAAATCAGCTTGCGTGCCAATATACACTCGGTTTCATGATCATTGTCACCTTGGTGGAGGGTTAGGGTCCAGCCGGCGTCAGGTCGACGCTCCACGCTCGTGACTTTTGAACGAAACTGGATCTGCCTGTAAATATCATGTTTCTCTGCGTACTGTCGGAGATAATTGTGGACCACTTCGCCAGGTATATGGTTTCCTGATTTGACTCCAAAGGTCTCGTCCATCGGAAAGTCACTGTATTCGAAGGTACCCAGCATGTTATTCGTGAGAAGACCTGGATATAGGCGCTCTTGCGCCCACACGCCGCCCAAGGTAGCGTGGGCATCCAAGATCATCAACTTGGTAGACGGATGACAATCAAGGTATGTCTTTGCCATGACAAGTCCAGACCACCCTGTAAAGATCGTCCGTGAGCGCGGCAATCCGTATGTTCAGAAGTATTCATTCATCAAGTTCTCACCAGCCCCTACGATGACCAAATCTGCCTCCCGCATGTTCTCCGTTAAAATCGTGTCCGGCTGTACAAGAAACTCTCTGTCGAACGAGTACAGATAGCTGAAAAGCCGACGCTGTCCAGAATAGCAGGGGAAGTGTCTTATAAGGTCGACTCAGATGTATGTAGATTATAGTGAGGCATGGAAACGCTTCCATGTAGCGTGCCAGCATGGATGCCAAGAAAGAGCCGTGACGCCGTTACTGCCGAACCTCCAAGTCCGTGACCACCAGGAAGAGAAAGTAGCTGGATGATTCGTAGGATCATATGACTCGGTCGTCGGATAGATCTATGCAAGCGCAGAGTTTGGGCGACCTTTACGTATGTGCATGTCTGAGGTTCTACGGGTTCTACGCTGATCAGGGATCCAGATGCAACAGCACGACAGCTTTCGGGCTCCCGTCGAGCGAGACATATTTACCAGCTGCAGGAGTATGCGGTCGACAAATCTCCGGTCTACTTGATACTGTCAATGGGTACGTGTAGACCATCGAGAGTAAAAGCCAAGCGATGGGATACGTTGTCATCTTGAGTGGCATCAGCATTGGAACTTCCCATTACATATCCGGAGGGACATGGGGCGGGAAGTGATCAGGGCCAAACGAACCTGCTTGAGAGCATAGAAGAAAATGTACATGTGCTTGATAGCACGCTGTGCAAATGTACCCCATTTGCATAGTTGGCCGAGGGCACTGACCATCCATCAAAAATGGCAGTGACCGAACTCGAGAGTAGCTCCTCGACGAAGTCCTGCGACAGCCCTGGTACAGTCAAGAACAAGGTGGGACACAGCCTCGGGGGCCCCAGACGGTATCCACTATACCGAAGATGGCGGGTGGCTGCTGTTACCTTACTACTCTGAACACGTGGACGACTCATGAGTTGGCTTTACAAAGGCATTCGAGTGGACGAGTACACTTGTACAAGGGTAAAGTTCCAAAGCACTCCGTCAAGGCGAAGATGTCCGGGCACTTGGCGTAGGATGGTTATTAATGTCTTGGGTTGTAGTTAGACATCGTCAGCATATCTTCCATGAATGTGAAAGAGCGGGCAGCACCTCACAGTACCCGAACCATGTTCTACGCTGGACACGCCTGTGGGTTCCACCCTCAATACTTGGGACCACAGTTTACGGGACAGCCTAGCCAACTAGCTCTGCGATGTTTAGGTTGAGCCTGTCCACCGTGCACTCACCAGGCTACTGAGGTGCTAACGTCGAGTATCATGAATCAGTCGTGTGCTCTTGCAGTTTCAAACGCCCTACCGGTCGCACCTTGCGTATTACAAGAGCATAGGATGGGTGCTGGGTGGTAAATCCCGGGGCCTCTCCCGTGGTCCCAGTCTCGGGTGCAAGCTCAAAATAGAGCATCGGCGCAAGTCGGTGACGGTCGAAACACGAACCGTCGAACAGCGATATAGCTCGCCGACCTTACGGTATAACCGAATCCGACATACGCCGCTCTGCCTTTCGCAGATGGCCAAAGATGCTAACTGGAGACGCCGGTGGGACAAAGTCTCCTTGACTTTCGAGCGGTCCCGATACCACCCGCGCAGTTTCCTACATGGGTCAGGCAGCACAGGAGAATGGTCACCATGCACATGCGAGTTACGCAAATATAGAACCTTGTAATGCAGACCATGATACATTCCCAGAATCCTAGAATACATGTCAGTTGATGATTAATCGGCCATCCCAGAACATTACGACGATGAAATTTCGCGACCCTTCCGATCGCACTGATAGGAATCGATTCGATACTAGGGAAACTTCGTGAATATTCATAGTAGAGGGAGGACGGGCGTCCTAAATATTGCGGCTGCAATGAATACTCGAGGAGATGACGCTTCGCACACAGGAAAGGCCTGCAGCAGGCACGCCGGGCAAGGCCGGACACAGGCTGAAAGGGATGCCGGCCGGGCTGCTTAGTCAGTCGGTCAGGCCGGTAGAGGCCGGCGCTATTTATGGATTACAAGATCTGATTTGCCGATGGATCCGTGTATGTCACTGCCCGATCAGGCTACGTCAGCTGGTACGCACTTTGGACGGTGGCTGAACCTCTCGATTGCACTGGTGACAACATTAATATTAGCACAGACGCGCCGCCAGTTATCGACTTATAAAAGGCTCCCCATCGTTCCGATGCTTCTCAGAATAATCCCTCGTTTTTCTTTCTTGTCGCGTACTTTTCTTCTTTCTCCTCGACCGCCATGTTGCGCTCCGCTATCCGTCCACTCGCCGCTGTTAGCAGGAAACCTGCGTCGTCGATGTTCTCGACGACGCCGAAGCGGGACATGAAGGTTTGGAATGGAACACGCGGATAACGTACGGAGATTGAGCGTATCGCCATAGATTTTGGCTATTTTGTACGACGGTGGTAAGGCTGCGGAGCAGGAGCCTCGTCTACTTGGAACCACAGAGAACAAGGTGAGAACGACGCGTACACCCACGCTGATGTAGCTATCTAACACGATCCACTTTAGCTTGGTTTAAGCGAATGGCTCAAGTCCCAAGGACACGAGTATATCGTTTCCAGCGATAAGGAGGGCCCCAACAGCGTGTTCCAGAAGGAACTCAAGGATGTACGTGTGGATGCTTCATTTGGCGGGACTTGAAGTGACATACCGACTACGACGGTAGGCTGAGGTCCTCATCACAACGCCCTTCCACCCGGGCTACTTGACAAAGGACCTAATGGATAAAGCAAGTCATCGTTAGTGATAGTGCTCTTCCTAACACTCACGGGCGAATATTGCAGGCAAAGAACCTCAAGCTTTGTGTGACCGCCGGTGTTGGTTCCGATCACATTGACCTCAACGCTGCCGTGGATAACAAAGTTCAAGTGCTCGAGGTGAGTTCTAGGTTATCAATGGTCAGAGAGTGCATGCGCTCATGTTTGTATAAAGGTTACCGGATCGAACGTGACCTCTGTCGCGGAACACGTCGTCATGTCTATCCTTCTGCTCGTGCGGAACTTTGTGCCTGCCCATGAGGTACGATGGTCTTGACTGTCAGGGTCAACAGAAGTGCTGATATGTGCTCCCGAAGATGATCGAGCGGGGCGACTGGCAAGTTTCCGAGGTTGCGCGGAATGCTTTCGATCTGGAGGGCAAGGTCGTCGGTACGATTGGTGCTGGCCGTATCGGATACCGTGTGTTGCAGCGCCTGGTGCCCTTTGGCGTGAAGGAGCTGCTGTACTACGACTACAACCCCCTTCCCGAGCGTATGTCTTCGTTTTCTTCATTCGCGAATGTGCTCATGTATATTGCGTAGATGCTGCCAAGGAGGTGGGCGCCCGTCGTGTAGAGGACCTCAAGGACTTTGTGTCGCAGGTGCGCAACAGAAACCTGAGCATCTTTGGACGTATCACTGACGACATCCTGGCATAGTGCGATGTTGTGACCGTCAACACTCCCCTGCACGAAGGCACGCGCGGCCTGATCAACGCGGACCTGCTGAAGCACTTCAAGAAGGGCGCATGGCTCGTGAACACGGCGCGCGGCGCGATCTGCGACAAGGACGCCGTCGCGCAGGCGGTGAAGAGCGGGCACCTGAACGGGTACGCGGGCGACGTGTGGAACGTGCAGCCGGCGCCGAAGGACCACATCTGGCGGACAATGAAGAACCCGCTCGGCGGCGGGAACGGGATGGTGCCGCACTACTCGGGCACGACGCTGGACGCACAGGCGCGGTACGCGAACGGGGTGCGGAGTATTCTCGAGAATTACTTTGCTGGGAAGCCCCAGGACCCGGCGAACATCATAGTTGGGATTGGCAAGTATGAGAGCAAGGCTTGTGAGTATCCAGTCACTATTTTCAAGTGGTGCGCAGGGCGCTGATCATCATTTCTGCGCAGACGGTCAGCGGGAGGATAAGCAGAAGACGTCGCACGGCTTCAGCAAGTCATGAATGTCTATGCTAGAGATAGAGAGGTGTAATACAGTGTAAGATGGACATACGAGAACATAGTTGACATTGTTGTATTCTACTTCAATGCGAGCAGTCACGACCTGTCCTTGTAAGCCATGGGGCCGGTTGTCCAAGTCCGCTGCCACACGCCACTTTCGTGACCGGCTTTACGCGTCGCGTTCCGAACTTGTGAGATCGTCGCGTCGCGGGCTCGCGTTACGTTATGGGCGTCGCGTCAGTCGCCGTCGACGACTCAGCGCGAGTCGCACTCCGCGTCTAAAAGTAAAGCTATGATGTCTTGGCTCGTTTCAACACCATCACGACCTTGCCGATGACCACATTATTATTCTGCTAGTCTTTCCTTCGTAATATTCTACTCTGCCTGCGCTATGCCTATGAACGCGCTGACTGGCAAGGCCGGGCTCAAGCTGGGACCGCTTGTCCTCGAGACACTTGTGAAGCACTACTTCGAGGGACTCGCGAAGGATAAGGAGGGGTCGGCCGTCGTGAACTTGAGGAAGGATGAACTGTTGTACGATCAGGCGTTTAACATTGTAAAGGTGCGGCATAGTTGGAGATCAAGGGCTTGGTGCGCGTCTGATGAGAGTGGTAGGACTTTCTTGATGCAGCATCCAAGTGAGTGGGAAAGGAGGCTGGACGGGGCATTCGCTGACACGGCCCAGGCACACTGTAGAAGAACTCCAAAGCTTCTCGAACACCCGTACGCCGTCGCCTCCATGGGTGCGAGTGGTCAGATTGCTCGTGCCCATGTCCTGCTGCGAAGAGGCAGCGACGCAGCTTATCAAAGCCTTGGGCGGAGAGGAGGTCGCGAAGCGCGTCGTTGGCGGTACGAAATGGTGGCAGGTGCGGGGCGTGAAAGGGTGCGCACGAGCTGCACTGTTTGAACGAATAGCGCTCATGAGCATGATACTCGTGCAGCGTGAATTGCGAATGGATCGTGGCAAAGAAGGATTGGCAGGAGGCCAAGAAGCGATATAAGGCGCGGGAGAAGGTTCGGCAGGAGAAATCTAATGGGAGCCCGAAGGAGAACGGAAATGAGGTACCTCCGGAGGGTGTGGACGATCCTGAAGATGACAACGCTTATGATGCGGAGATGGACGCAATGCGTTGTATCCTTTGGTTTCATGGAGGTTCGTCCATATGTTCCGAGCATCCTCAAATGTTTTGATTGATATGTCCTGTGCCGACAGGCGGGTACTACTTTGGCAGTGTGGACCAAGAAAGGTATGAAGCCTTGCGCACGCAAGGTTGCTGAGCTTATGCTCCAGTATAGGTACAGTATACAGCGCTACGCTCGGAAGATCAACGGGCGTGTCTTCGGTACGTTGTATCGTCGCGGTTGCACGATTTGTCTGATTTAATCTGTACAGCCGTGAATTACCGTCTGGCCCCGCAGTACCCTTTTCCTTGCGCATTGCAAGATGCCCTGGCAGCGTGTAAGTAGTCATCCAGTGGACGACTCTTGCCAAGCCATACTTACGCGATGTAGACCTTTACTTGATCCAGCCACCGGAAGGCGCAGCCCATTTACCCGTATTACCCGCGCACATCGTTGTGGGAGGTGACTCTGCTGGTGGGGGTTTGACCCTTGCTCTGCTCCAAGTAATCCGCGATTCTGGGCTTCCAATGCCTGCTGGAGGCGTGCTTGTCTCACCGTGGTGCGATATGACACACTCGTTCCCTAGTATCCACACAAACACAGATACGGTATGTAGCTTCTCCCACAATATCTCACCATGAATGTGCTGAAAGGATCTTCCTTGGTAGGACGTGATGCCGAAATACGGATTATCCTTTCACAAGCCCAGCACGCTATGGCCACCCCCGCCCGAAGACGTCACAAATCGCGTACATGAAACTCTCCGTTCGCGAATTCGTTCCGTCGTCCGACTCGACACCAATGGGAATGTTCGGGGTAATCACAGCGGGGACGTCGCTGACCCGAATCGCATGCAGACCAGCTCGCAAATGTCCCATGCGACCGGTTCTGGTGCAACGCAAGCGTCCCAAAAGCCGTCTACTTACAACGTGCAAGATAGCTCTGGCAAGCCTGTCAACGTCGGCTCGACAACTTCATTGCCGGCCCCCGGTGCAGCAGAGGGCCAGACCATCAGAATTAAGACTGAATCAGGGGAGACCCTTACCATCGAACATCAAGTGCATTTGTACACCACAAATAATCTATTACCACACCCATTGGTTAGGTGAGTAAAGTGGTCATTAGACGTGTAGAGCACCTTATCAAACCCTGCTATAGTCCAATATTAGGCTATCTCGGCGGTCTTCCGCCTCTATTCATTGTAGCAAGTGACAAAGAAGTCTTGCGAGACGAAATAATATATGCGTAAGTACATTCATCCTCTGCCTTTACACCTGATTCACGGTCCTGTAAGTGCGCACAAGGCGGCCAAGCCAGATAAATACCCTGTCAAGGAAGAGACTAGACGTCTATACCCTGCCTTGGAGGACATCGAAAGCTGCTACGGTCCTACTAACGTACATTTGCAAGTCTATGATGGTAGAGCACCAGATTCCTGTCAGGCTTCGCGACTCTGACCAGCCCTCTAGATGCCGCTCATGTCCTTCCTACGTTGTTCGCATTCACGACCCCCGCGAAGTACTGCTACCGAGCGATTGCGACGTTCTGCAAGTATGCCACTGGCATCCTGGCAGATATGCCTGGATCTCCCGAGCCCGTCACCCCAATGACCTTCGCATCTCAGCAAGACTCGCCGCCGTTGATGGAGGCTGCAGAGTCGGGCGAATCCTACAAGCTGACCAGGACCACCTCTCCCCAGCCGATACCTAACAGCCCTCGACCTCGGATTCACCGTCCCCATACCTCGCATGGGTCGCTATCAGTCAAGATTGCTCGCGCAACCAGCGTGATGCGAAAGAGACCTACGCTCGGGGCGCAGCATATTAACGAAGATGGGAGCCTGGTGGATGTCCCCAAGTCCGCACCGCCCGATGACAGAAAGCATAACGGATCCGCTGATGTTGCAGGCCCGCGCTTCTGGGACAGGACAGCGTCGGATCGCAGTATGAGGACCGCCAACGTCAGGACCGCAGGTGATCCGTCAGTATATCTGGATTCTACTGTAAGCTGTCTGATACTCCCTCGCAAGTACGTATCCATGACTTCAACTCATTTAGCTCTCGTGGGAGAACAATATGATTCGCGAGCGTGTCTCAACGCAAGGTGTGATCCGACCTCTAGAGCCGGAGCAAGACCTTCCGGCATTACAGGTACCCCTTGAAGTCATTGGTAACATCAACGAGCTCGCTGCTCGCAGGTACCTTGACGGCTGGCGCTATTTCGACGAGAAGTTCGGTCATACGAAGAAGACTATTGCCAAGCACCGGCGGCGCAACCTTGAACGGGCGAAGAAAGATACTCTCAGGAATCTCACACAAATCCAGATGTACTTCGGCCAAGAGGAGGAGGACCTAGAGGTCAATGGGAAGTCCGGGAGATCACCGAGTAAACACAAGAGCAAGAGTGTAGAGAGGAAGGGTATCAAAGAAGGTCTCATGGCTGCATCCGGGAGCTGGAGCTGGGCGTGGGCTCTGGACGGAGACGAGCATCCGCCGCCAAGTAGTATTGTGTCGAGGAGGGACACGGAGGAGGCAAGACAGTTAGCCAAGATTGCAGATCAGAGCGTGCTGCCCGAGGAGAGGTCGATGAGCGGGAACAATCTGTGGACAGTCATTGTCAACTTCCTAACTGTCACGCCGGATAGAGACACAGGGAAGGGCAAGGAGAAGGCTGAAGATGAGGGTGAAGAGAGGGGACGGTCCAGGTCCAGGTCTGCGTGGTCGAAGTTCCGAATCGCTTGGAGTGTCGGGCATAGACCGTCAGGGTCTGGCTAGTCGTTCTCTCTATCACCTTGAATGACTTTGCGAGACTTGATGACTGTCCTCCCAGAATTATGGGTCCGCTGTCCTGGAGCACTCCGTTTTTCTCTCGTCTCCCAAACAGTGTTGTAGTGTTATATCTGCTACTGGAGCTTCCCTTTCACAGCGAAAATACCCACCGGTTGGTCGATAACGCCATACGTACACATACAGGCGGACACATTCCCGTGGAACCCATATACAAGTTACGCCAATCCATGCGATGCAGCAAAAAATACAAGAAGAACAAGAAAACCCTGTTATTCGGCCATCTACAAGCTGCGTGTCTTGCTCTTCTCACCGTCAACCGTACCTACGAAGGAGCACTGGAAGTGAGGGGCCTCCGGGCACGGGCTCCTGGACAACGGCTCAACAAACTCACAACAGTCATGCTTGGTTTCTCCTCACCATCTGATATTGGACCCCGATGTACCTCAGAAATTCATTCATGTTGGTGTCTCTTGCATGGGGCGCCGTGGCCACGGGGAGCCCGTATTCTACGCACAAGTTCTGGATGGCTGCATCTGAATGGAGGTATGTCTGCTAAACAAGGTAAAGGCTATGAGTGTGGAGGACGCACCATCCAGCGCGAAGAGAGCAGACAGGCTCTTCGGGAAGCTCGGGCAGGCCTGATCCTCGTTCGGCTTGAATAGGGGGGTCAGTGCGGCGCGCGGCTGGTCGAGTCGGAGGAGGCAGTTGGCGCGTCGACTCTCTCTGGTTTACAGGATATGTCAGGGCGTCGAGCTCTAAGCATCCGGTGTCGATACACCTACGCATTGTGCAGTTCCCGTTGAGCAAGTACGATTTGCTCCATGATGTGGTCGAGCTTATTTTGCAATTCCATTGACGTATGCTGTTCCAGACTCTTGCTTACTTCTTCTGCTAATTTCGCTTCTATGATATCGTTCATCTCCCTTTCGACTGCGTCCAAGTGAATATGCTATATTGCTGTCCGACGGAGTTCAGGCCTCACTTTCTTCCTTGAGCTCCTCCGTCACAGAGGCCCTTAGCCCCTCGGGATCTTCCAAGAGCGCTGTGGATCGCTGATTAGTGGCATGCTTGAACGCTGAATGATATGACGATGCAGTACCTTTGATCGCCTCGATGGCCTTCTCGTTTTCTTCGTCTTCCTGCTTGATATCCTTGCGAAACCTATATCAGCGGTTAAGGGATAGTTGTTATGGGTCCAAGTCATGTAGCCACTTCTCCAGTGCTTTCGCCACATTTCCTTCGGTACTTTGGCGTTTCTCGAGATCGTCCTGGTATTTCTATTACGATAACATAGGAACCTCGCTCCTGCGTCCCGCACGACAGATTCGGTAACGCACTTGGATTTTCCCGATCTCGTCCTTGATCTGCTTGACGGATGCTTGCACCCTACTCGCCTCCGGAGGGACGACCGGGGAATAGTCAATTGCTCTCGCGTTGCCGTTGCGCGTGTTAGTAGGAGAATTCATCGTTAGACAGTTCGTTGCAGGGCTTGGGCTCGACACCACAACGAAATGTACAGCGATGCTGCTACAGCAGCTGGTGCGAGCGGATGAAGGGAGGTGGCGGAGATAGGGCAATCGATGAGATTTGGACCTACATATGCATATGCATGCTCCCACAACGTGTACGAGCTGTACTTGGATTCCGGAAGGCCCTTTAGCATATATAGGCGCCGGATATGGTAAATATAGAAGTGTCTGCTACAAATCCAAATACACTTCAGGTCCTCCGCTGCAGGGAAAGAGCAGAACATTTCGAGTCGACATACCCCATGGGCAGCCTCGACCATAACGAGAGCGTTGTCCGCAACCATTTGCACTGCCACATCTGCCACCTCTATACCGTGACACTGCCGTGCACCCGCTGAAACCCGATGCTAGATTCATCGAATGAAAGCAAGCATCTGAACGTCCGAATTTATTGATTTCAATGTTGATTGCTTTACACTTGACCGTCGGCGTACTCAGTAAACAAAGTCTTTCACTGTAAACACCGAGAAACTTGAATGGGCTGATGTGAATTAGTGCCAGTGCCAGTGAGTATGGTTTGATCGCTCTTTCTGTCATCATTCATCTTGATAGAACGATCTCATTCTCTCCACAGACAGAGACAGACAATAAACAACCCATGGCTCCTATCCGGACAAAGTACTGCTAATAGGGCCTACTAGGAGGTGGCGGGCGCATTGCCTCGTAGACTATGCACTGCGCTGGTACGCTTGGACCGTGTGGCTCACAGCCCCTTATGTTCACCGCGCTTGACAGGTGACATGCCTATGGTGCCTCACTACGGTTTTCTCGCAACAACGCTTGACCCTGCAGATTCGAAACACGGTCCATGCACGATTTCACCGATCCAAGATGGATGCGTGTTGATCCAAGCGCATTGTACAGGTGGCTACGCCCCGAGGTCTTTAAGAGCTATGATCTAGGAAGCCTTGGGTGCTGCTCCCTCACCTGCTGCTTGCGAGGCCCTGATCGATATTCTTTTGTATTTCCCCTGGAACGTCGAAATTTCTACCACAGCCGACTCTGAACCGATCGTGTTCTCGGTGAGAGACCATTACCCAAATATTCCATCCTCTGTGTATCCAATCCATCTGAACCTACAGTTCAATACATACTTATGCCATTCTCATCTCCTTCGATCATCAGCGAAATGGCGCTCCCTTCTCTCGACCTCCGCGACCGAAACGATATTTTTCAGCTCCACGGATCCCATGAATACGCTAGGAATCATCAGGCCTTGAAGTCCTTGTCTTTCCTTGTACTTGCGCACCACCTGGAATATTTACCCCACGTCGGAGAGTTCCTACGGGGCATACGAGGAGTGGACACCTTAGAGGCCCGTTTTCACTTGGACCATGATCTATTGACGTCCGGGGCTACCACGTCCAGCATTGTTCTGAGCTTGGCTGCACTCCTGTCCTCATTCGCGCAAAGTTCTTGCAGTAGTCTTGTTCTCAAGGAGGAGTTTCTACCTCATTGGCTACCTCGCTCCATGGGCTCCCGCGAATTTCAGGTGCGGCAGGCATTGTCCCCTGTCAACACCTTGAGGAATCTCTGGATAGGCCTTCCGATATTATTCACTCACCCTTTTCGTCAGTGGATCATGGACTCCATGAACAGCAGCCCTATGGAAACTCTGGCGATTGACTCGGTTGGGCTAGAGAGTCGGTCGTGGACAGAGGTTTCTGCTGGGCTCCGCCTCCCGCACCTCACCAAACTGGTCCTTTCCGTACCCGAATTCGACTTCAGGGATCTCCTCGCTTTCTTGTCTAGGCAATCTGCACTCGAGGACCTAACTCTACTTGATAGTCCAGCGAACCTGGGCGGCAACGTGTCTGGTCTCGCTCTCCCTAAGCTCCGGACCCTAACTTGCCCCCCGAGAACGCTTGTCGCTATCCTGGCAAGTTCCATAGCGGTCCCAAAATCATGCGCAATAGCTATCCGCCCGGAAGAGAGGCAGAATACTATCTGTCTCAGAGACTGGACGTACGCGCTTCGTGCCATTGGGACGCGGCAGTTCGCCAATGATATTAGCATCGCCCTGATCTTGGGGACGGCTGACTGCGCCTTCCCGGCGCAAGGACAGGCGTGTGCTGTCGGAGCGCTCGAACAAGTCGAGGACATCATTATTGACGTACGACACAGCGAACATCTCCAGCACAATGTTCCGGTGAGTACCTCAGAGCTGTCGCATATTTGTGCAGCCGTCTTATTGATGTCATGTACCTCAGGATTATCTCCGGACGTGGCTTTCATCCTCGACATTACCAAATTGTGGGCTTGTCATAATTCAGTCGCAGCGCAAGAGAAGGCCCAGTAGATTGTACCATTACATCATGGATAAATTTCCATCGCCTGACGTGGATGTGATGGAAGAGTAGGAGCATACATAGCGGACCCTGTGAAGGAAGCTCAGCTGTATGATCGCCCGAGCACTCCTTGTCCAAGTATATTTCAAGTTTCATTTCGTGACTAGTGCGAATTTCCGTGGACAGGTATAGTTACTATATGTAACGGTGATAGGGATGCATAGACAGCTTCAACTTGAGTTGATCGAAACTGGACGTCTCTTCCCTCAAGAGTCGGAATCGACGCGACGAACGCGTCTGAGGCTAGAACACGTGACATTCAGCGCCACAATTTGCCGTCGGCTTTCGCGCTTCTGACCTCCTCCTGCAGGTCATGACGCCACCGCTTGCTTATGAATGCGCTATGCCAATGGAGAACGAGGATCATAACAAGCTCTGCCAGAACACCTTTACGAGTTAGATCAGCGACCACCACAGCAGCGATGGGAGTTCCTGATGAGAAGATTCACCCGCATGCAACGGGGGCAGCTGCGAAGACCGTAGCTCAGCATGAGCAGCCACAAGATCTGGTGTTCTATGCTGGATGGGTCAGTCGTACCAGCACTGTCGAAGGTCTTGCAATCACTTACGCTCACAGGGTTTCGTTGTTACAGTTCTGTCCTTTCGTACAGCGTAGCTGGGTCGTCCTCGAAGAGAAAGGCATCCCTTACCAGTATAAAGAGGTCAACCCGTATAAGAAAGAGAAACACTTTTTGGGTATGAAACCGGCTCCCACTCGTCGTAGGCGTGACACTTATTCTTCATTAGACATCAATCCGAAAGGGTTGGTACCGGCCATTGAATATAAGGGGAAAGCGCTGTATGAGTCGCTGATTATCTGCGAATTTCTCGAGGAGGCATACCCAGACCACACTCCACATCTCCTCCCTTCTGATCCATTCGAACGCGCCATCGTGCGTCTCCAATTGGATCATGTAAGCAAGGCCATCCTTCCCGCCTTCTTCAGGACCCTGCAGGCGCAGGAGAAGGATAAGCAGGAAGCGGGTCTGCAAGAACTGTATAGCGGCCTGAGGCAGCTTGCGCAGAAGGTCAAGGGACCGTACTTCCTCGGCGAGCAGTTCAGCCTGGTCGACGTCGCTATCGCACCGTGGGCTGTGAGGGACTACATACTTGCGGAGCACAGAGGGTACAAGAGAGAGGACGTCGGAAACGGGTGGAAAGAATGGGCCGAGAAACTCGAGAGTCGTGACAGCCTCGTCAAGACCTCTAGCGTGGGTGCTCTGTATTTTGGCGGATTGTCAAGATAACTAAGGATCAAGCCATTCAGGACAAGCAACATTACGAGGAGATCTATGGCCGCTACCTTCGCGACGAAGCTCAGAGCGAAGCCGCGAAGGCTACCAGAGCCGGCAGAGTTATCCCGTAACCGAGGTGGCGTCCTGCGACTGCATTCAATGTATATCAGTACTTGTATGGGTAAGATTAAAGGATGTATTTTTATCTGTAACACGAATATCCCCGCCCCTGTCGTCCAGCAAAGCAGAAATATGAAAGGGATGAACACTGTCGTCGCTTGCTGTCTGTGCATCATGGGAATTCTTACTTGATCATCCTATCATCGAACTGCTTACAGTCACATCTTTCGCGGGCAGCTCTTCTCCGAGCCTACCTCTATCTCTCCGCACCACGATACTCACCGCTCAGACTCAGTTTAGTGAGGACATGGGTGTTCCAGACGCGCAGATCTACCCACAGGCGACGGGGCCTGCAGCGGCGACCTCCGCCAAACATCAAGTCACCCAGGATCTCGTCTTTTGGACGGGGTGGGTAAGCACGCTCAACCGGTCTCAGCTATTATTAGCCTCACATTGCCGCAGTTCTGCCCTGCATCCCAGAGGGTATGGATTGCGCTGGAAGAAAAGGGAATTCCGTACCAATACAAAGAGGTGAATCCGTACAAGAAAGAGGAGGCGTTCCTGCGTGCGTGCCGTTCTCGAAACTAAATGACAGTAGTGCTAAGGCAAGCCCTGAATCAGGAATCAATCCCAAGGGGCAAACGCCCACGATCGAGTACAAGGGCCGACCACTGGTCGAGTCCCTCATCATCCTGGAATTCTTAGAGGACGCATACCCGGATTACATGCCGCGCCTCCTCCCGGCGGAGGCCTACGAGCGCGCGCGCGTCCGGCTCGCCCTAGATCTCGTGAGCAAGACCGTGCTGCCGGCGTGGTTCCGGCTCGTACAGACGCAGGACGCGCGGAAACAAACGGAGGCGTTGCACGATTATTACGCGGCGCTGAGCACCCTGGCGGAGCAGGTGAAGGGGCCTTACTTTCTAGGGGAGGAATTCTCGCTGGTGGATGTGGCGATTGCGCCGTGGGTGGTGAGGGATTATATTATCGAGGAGCATAGAGGGTATAAACGGGACGAGGTGGGATTTGGGTGGAAGAAGTATGCGGAGGCGGTGGAGGCACCGGAGAGCGTTATGAGGACGTGCAGTGTAATTGCGGTGCTTCTTTTCATACGGGTCAGAGTGTTACTCACTTCCGCTGTCACAGAACAAGGAACATTATGAGGAAATATATGGCAGGTACCTACGCGACGAGTCTCAGAGCGAGACCGCAAAGGCCACGAGAGCGGGTAAAGCTATCATCTAGTCCCCATAAATGGATGTATTCCATTTTTTCTAGGGGCTACACACGAGATCTATCTAATTCCTTGTAAAAATACAAACGCTAAAAGACGCGAGGCTACTTCACGTTTCTCTTCACTTCAAATAACCCATGGTAGGTATCCTATATAGAAGAGAAACAACTAGTGCTACTAGGAGTCCGTGGTTATATATCCTAACCATGTCCACCGTCTATGCACTACGTAGAAGAGTAAGGTTACCAGTCATCCGAGAAAATATAAGAAAGCAATAACGATAGCGAGAGCAAGCAGAGAGCGGTGTGAACGAGAAAAGGCAAGACGAGACGGCACGAGACGAGAGCAGGGATACATAGATAGCATGGGGTCGATACAGGCAGGTGGCGGGACAACACGGTTAGAGATAAAGAATGGTGGCGGCCACCGCGCTCAGCGCGGCGAGGTACGGGATACAGAGTGACAGCATTGGTGAGCTGCTGCTGCTTTGTATATTGGTAGTGGATGGTACAGCGGATGGTGAGGTGGTGTCGGTGGAGGAGATAGAGAGGGCTGCATCGACAGGAGCTGAGGTTTCTGTAGCCGAAGCTGCCGATGTGGCGAGTGGACTGGCGGCCGAAGCCGTTGATTCGAAAGTAATTGACGGCTCCGGTGTTTCGATGACGGACGGTGTGGCTTCCCCGGCCAGTTCAGGGGTGGATGTGGCAGAGGGTAATGGGACGGTCTACATCGGAGTCAGTTAGACGGAGACTACGTGTTGTGAATGAGTGTGGCTTACGACGCTAATGTATCTGCACCCCCATAGACACCAACGTCTGTCCCACCTCATCGGCGCGGACTCCTTGCGCATCACCATCAGGGCTTCCGCCTGTTGACAAACTGGGGTGGGGGGTCAGTTACTGGAATTACGCCACCGTAGAGGGTATCGCTTACCACAGACAAGGAGAACGAGCAGGCCAGAAAGAACAACTTGGGGACGCATACCGAAAGAATAATTAAAAAGAGCGGTAGTAGTTCAAGTCACTAAGGCCTGAAAGGCCGAAGCTTAAGGCTGCAAAGTGCAGAAGTGACGAAGACAGAAGAGGGGAACTGGGCCTGCATTAGCCGAGACTTCCTCCGAGCTTTTGTACGCCCAGCTGCGTACGGCGGATACAAGCGTAGATACATACAAGTACATTGCGCGCGAGATTCACATCGGTGATTTCGCGTTGCCTGATCGGAGGGCAAAGGGAGAGCCTAATGAGGGCAACGGTAGGGCTGCGGGTATGGATGTTCTGTTGCTGACATCGCGGAATCAGCAGCCTTGTACTTTGCACTGCGGGAAAACTGACGGACACTGCGAGCCGTTCTTCAACACCTTCCTAATCGGGACGAAATATCCATTCCGAGGACAAGCGCGGTCGGTGCGGCATCGTTCGGCAACCCACGCGCCTGCCTGCTGGCAGTGATGCGTACGTGTATCGAGCCTGACAATGTCGAGATTCAACGAGTGCCTTAGATTGCGGCTCTCACTCTATTTGACGGGATCTGTAGAGTGCAAGTCTGTCGGTGGGCGCCTTCCATATCGGCACTAGCTCGTTTAGCCTGGATGAGCACGCATCCGAATAAGCTCCAAATGCTATAGAACCATGTAGGTCCATATTTTGTCCATTTAGCTCTATTTCCGCCACGTCAAGTACCACACGCCACCCGTTGTTTGATGAGCTGGACGCCTTCGGTGGCGCAAATAATTCTTCCACCGCCTTGATCAATGGTCACCGCTTATTCTTGAGCTGGTCTCGCCAGGGTTATGCTAGTCGAGTTCAGAGCGCGTCACTGGCAGGGAAAGTCGGGTCCTCCGACTGTTAAGAAACGTGCTAGCTATGAAGTTACGTGGCAGAATACGACTAACAGCGCAGAAACGGCAGATTTAGCCTGACTACTGTGAGCCAGTCGTTCTTCCCATTGCACTCCTAAATGGCTGAGTGACATGACGAATAGCTGGACGCTGACGTAGAATGAGTATAGAGCTGTGCTGGGAGTGAGTGGACTTATTTGAGGGTGTCTATACTGATTACAACGACCTTGCAATAATAATAGATCGCTGTACCCCATACTGCATACCATGTATCTGGTCCACAACGATCGGGTAACCAGCGAGGATATCTGCTCGTTGGGGCGACTCCTCCCCCTCCGCCCGGGCTGGACGGGTTTCTCTTTCTCGTTTACAGCCTACACGTTGTTACCTCATCGTATCCGATCTGACAGGACAGCCGATCACAAGGTGGCGAGGAATAGTGGTGAGTCCATCGCGGATCATTATCAGAACATGAGAAAAGTACGTGTATCCTCTGCGAGCATGGTGAGACCTTGTGGTGGAATAGCGCTGTTCCAGAATCCCGATACACCTCCGGTGTTCGTTGGCAGGTCCCGACAAGGACGCATAGCTTACAGACTCTGCTGAGATGGTAGGTATCCCTGAGTCTTGGATGTCGATCTGTCTGTGAATCTTACTCGGGTGGCATTGCACTATTGACCTGTAGCTCGCATCGGGTGATACGGCGGTGTCGGCGATCTGACGGAAACGTTTGTGACAGACAATGTCTATTTTATTAGATACAGAGTACAAGCAGGCGAGCTCTTATGGGGTAAGACGTAAGGAATGGTTTTCTCGCCGGGGAACCCACAGCTGGAATTACGGCAAGGGTGGATGGATGCTGACTCGGAGGAAGACAAACGTCCGCGGACGCCTTCACCGACCATGCATGTCACTACGTACGAGATAAACACATTCAGAAACCGATGTACATTCCAATGAGACATCATATACATTATTGGAGGACCCACAGTCGATGCTGGCTTTCAACGCTCAGCACGCACGTAAGACACGGAAGACGAGCGCTATCTGACAGTAACAATGTTATTCGAGTGGAAATGCTACTCTTTATCGGGGATTTTCACTCCATCCCCTGCTTGAGACAAGTTCAGTATGAGTACGCGTAACACTGACGATAGACCAAATCCCCTTCCCTTCCCAAGTTCAGTCCGCTTGTCTATATTCCCCTGCTTTTTGACGAGAAAGCAGACCAATTATACTGGTGTAACTTATAGGTCAATATTGTAGGGCGTGACAGGATGACTGCGGCAATCCAGGAAGATGGTTTGTCGTTTCCTTTGGCGTATGGAGGTTTCCAGCAGTTGTCCTGCCCTATCTAGTAACAGCATTGCCTCATTGGGATAGCTCATTGCCCGACTCGGTATGTCGGGTTTGCCCGGCTGCGCATATGTCAGACTTTAGGCCTTCGCCTGGAGTCTTCCTCCGTATAAGTAAGACCAACCGCAGCTGGTGATCCTCAGACCCTCTCTTTTCCCCCGCCCACCATCTGCTCCTATTTAGCCAGGGAAGCTTGCCGTCCTTGCTGCTTTTACTCGGAATTCTTGATACTCAGAGCTCCAGCGAACGCAGCTTCAGGGTGAGATTTACATTTTTCTGTAATTTATACTGTTTAAAGTGGAAGTGTATTGCTGTGCTGCCTTTGCTATACAACTGGAAAGTCAAGCGATAGAATGTACATGTACATCTCGACGAGCACGTAGTGTTCCGGGTCCTTGCTGAAGCCGCACTTCGCATGGGGTCCTCTGCAATCTGGCGCAGCACAGCCGCCGATCTTGTACCGACACTCGACCGACGCCCATTGCCCGCACGTTGTCGAGCACGAGGGAGCGCGACATTGGCGCAGTGTCGACAGTGTGTCAAGCGACGACGAAGGCCAAACGCCCTTCTTCAGATGCATTTACGGCAACTTTTGCTGGCAATATGCTTCTGTGTGGGATCGGTCTTCGCTGATACTAATTCTACCTCCGATGACGGGTGAGAACCTAGGTTCCTTATGCTCGGGCTCTTATTGATGCTGGAGGGCGCACCAGTAGCTACCCATACGACCCGATCCTAAAGTATAGACCGCCCTTTGCCCGCTCTCTTCCCATCCAAATCCTCCTCACCGGCGTCGTCCTCACCCTCGTCGGCGTCCTGCTCATTCAGCTCATATTCACGGCGCAGTACCACTGGCCCCTCGCACCCGTCAACTATGTCCTCCAGATCTCTGGCGTCCTCACCCTGCTCATTTCACTCATAGCGACACTCCATCAGATTCTTTCCGCCACGATAGATGAGAGCAGGGGATGGCCCTATATGCTATCATATCTTGCGGTGGACGTCCCGCCTTTGAACAATGCGAATACTACAAATCTAGGCGAGAAGCGTTGGGCGACAAGTGAAGTGGCGGCATGGCTGATGATGAATGCGACGAGTTCTGCGTTGATCCAGGTGCGTACTAGATATCCCCCAACTAACCCACTGAGGTAATGACGGTGTCCTAGATTACGCACATCCAATTCTTGACCCTCCTATTCCCTTCCTCCATCGAAAAAATTTTGATTTTTCTACTTCTTGGTACGCTCCTTTGTACGCCGTAATGCTGCACTCCGTTCACCCGATTCTTCCTCCAGGTCCTCTCGCCGTAGCCCACGCCGTCATGCAGCTGGTGCCCATCCACGCGAACGAAAACATCGTCCGTTTGGCCGATACCATCTCCAACGTCTGCAATGCAACGCTATCGCTTCTCTTCACCGCCTCGCTCTTCATCTGGGGCTTTCTCGTGAACCGCAAGAAGGCCTGGCGCACCGATGGCGGCACCGCGGCCTTTGGCGCAGGGGCAATCGCGTTGGCGGTAGCCTCCACGACGCTGACCTTCACTTATATCCCAAGCAAGGATCAGTACGAATGGTTCCCGGGCCTCGTGTGGGCGGTAGTGCTGTGGCAAAGCTTCCTAGGCTGGTGGTGGTGGGTAGGCGCGGGGATGGGCGTCGGCGAGGTCGAGGAGCTGCTCCGGCGCGAGGAGAAGCGCGCACAGAAGCGGCGGATGCGCATCGAGAAGCGGCGGGAGCAGAAGGAGAAGGCGGGCAGGATCTGGCGCGGGGTGACGGGCGCGTTCGTCGTGAAGAAGGGCGAGGAGCAGGCGGGCCCCGGCCAGACGGGCGGGGACACGTCGCTCCTGCGCCAGATGGCGGACACGCGCGCCGCGCGGGTGGTGCAGAGCATGTACCTTTTCCTCCGGCATGCGCATCTCACCGCTGCGCGCCGGCAGGCCGCTGCGACGACCCAGCGGAAGCAGGAGGTCTACGGACGGGAGGGCCTGCCGATCGAGGGACCGGACGGGGCGCCGAATGTTGTCGGGTGGGGCTTGGGCTCGTTCGGCATACGCGAGCGGGAGCTCAGGGAACACGGGAAGTATGATGACGAGGTGGAGGAGATCGAGCTGGACGTGGTTGGCCAGGACAAGCAGGCGGTCGAGGGGGAGTCAACCGGCGTGCAGGCTCGAGCGCCTGGGTCGTCCGTGTGGTGGTGGGGCCCGTTGCGGCAGTGGCGGTTGAGGGACTCGACTGTATATTGATGGATCGTTTGGTCTTTGGTGTGTTGTACGATTATCATGGTATTTGGTTGTATTGATGATTGGATGTTAATATACGGATGAATATATCGTCTGGGAAGCTCAGAGGTGCGAGTGACTCGTGGATGGTATGACTTTCGGTATGCTTTACCCGCGATCTGTTCAAGCAGTCGTCGCCCTCTTGCGCGACGATTTTCGGGTGTGCACCGACTCCAGTAGCTCGATCGACATCAGGAAGACGCGCTGCGACCCAGTCTACCCGAATAAGTACGCAGATCCATTTCAGCAGTCCCCATCTCAACCTCGGCCTCGTGCCTCGCGTTACCGTGCTCGTTGCCACATCGATATCGAGCACTCCCATTCATGATAACTCCGTGCGCGTCCTCGAGTTCGACTTCGCGAAGCCTGAATAGACGCCGAAGTCGTGTGACTATTGTGACAGGTCACGGTTCGACAGCCACACTTGCCACAAAAGCTAGTACCAACGGCGAAACCCGACAGTTTTGTTTACAGACTCAACGTCTACATGTGAGACTTTGGGAATCTGGTAGTCAGAGGTGCTAGCTGATATCCTGTCTTTGGGATCTGGTATGTGGAGAAGCCTTCGTTTTCTCATCCTGGGACCTTGACTCGGAGCTGTTGACGGCTCGCGGGTATAAACATGAGGCACGGGCCAGCGACAAAGCAAAGAACAGCCACATTCAGGGTTAGTTTCGTGGATCTGCCCTTGGTTCATCGCACTGACTAGTTCCTTGTATTCTATTCTCCATAAGGTCATCTGAAGCCGCGTCTCGCGCCGCGTGTGGGACGTTCATTGGCCTTTCAGCAATCAGGTCATTGTCCAACGCTTCGTGCCGCGGAAGAATGACCCGATTGATGGCGAGCCATTGATTGAATCCGGGTCCCTGCAGCTCAGTAATCTGCTTGACTGGACGGAGAATGCAGCCTCGAAACGGCCTTCGTTCGGCACGGCCTCGTTTACGACTGTATTTGTACCCATCTGGCATAATCAGACCATGGACGTTGCGTCTATGGCCCATGCCAGCTATATTTAAGGCGTGTTAGTTTTTGCTATCCCTGCTGCCACACCCTCGTCTCCTCTGTACGCCGGTCGTGCCTCAGCGTATTCTCGAGTGTCTTATCTGAGACTCTCCCTCCAACAACGTCCCTGGTCGTTTTTTCCAAGCGTTTGCTGTTGCTTTCCAGGCCATCTGTCTAGGTTCTGTCCACTGGTGACTCAGGAAAGAAAAGTCAGTACCATAAATCAATAACCCGTATTGTGGCTCACAGGTGTCTCTCAGTTTGGAACCTCTGCCAGCCACAGTCCCGCTTACCAGGGCATCCAAGCTTAGGCATACGTAAATGTCCGCTGTGGCACTCCCTACTCTCCAGCTTCGCCGGGGCGATGTATGTACCGAGCTCCTAACTGGTTCCCGCGTCTCCGTCGGGCGGCAAATGCTCGAGTTCCTGTTTCTCCATGCGACATTACCCCAGGCAAAGCACCTGCACCGTGTGGCTGATTTTATCTCGGGGATTGCAGGAGTATATACCATCGAGGCGCATTTCAGCCTGGTCCGTGGCCCACTCACTTCCTTGGATACCTCGACGGCGAACACCGTTCACAACCTAGCGGCGTTCCTAAACTCCATCGCCCAGACGAGCTGTATCAATCTTCTTTTGAAGGAGGACGATATGCCTCATTTCCTGCCTTACTCGTTCGGTTCGGGAAACTCTCAGGCGCCCCTTCCGCTGGCCCCCGTCACCACGCTGAGGGAACTCTTCATCAAGATGCCCGTGATGTTTACCTTTGCATTCCGGGACTGGATTGTGGACTCCATTAATGCTAGTCCTCTCGTGGCTCTTACCGTGTCGGCTGAAGGGCTCGGGAGCGAGACATGGAACGAGGTCTTGACGCAGCTACACCCACAGCATCTCAGAAAACTCACTTTGTCTCTTCCCGAGATCAGTTACAAGGACCTGTGCGCGTTTCTATCCAGGCTGCCCACTCTTACAGTCCTTGCTTTGCGGGATAGTCCGGCGAGCTTCGTTCGAGGTGGAGCCTTGAGTCAGTCGGGCATCAGTCTCACCTCCCTTCGGCGTTTAAGCTGCCCGCCGAGGGCTCTGGCGAACCTTCTGGGAAGCACCCTTGAGTTCCCTGCCCTGTCCTCGATCACCATCCACCCGGAATCCAGGCAAGATGGCTGCTCACTTAAGAGATGGACTGCGGCATTACGCGCCTTAGGAAGGCGACAATTTCGCCACGAACTCGAACTTACGCTTATATTAGGCAAGAGGAACCACAGCTTCCCCGAGAAGGGAGAAAGCGATGCTATCGGACTCGTACGCGGGGTTTTAGAGATCATCCTGGACTTAACATTCAGCCCGAGTCTCCGAGACATCGTTCCGGTGAGTGTCCTTGAGAGTCACAAGCGTCTCCTTGAGAGCGCTATACTGACATCTTGTGTTCAAGCACTACCTGCAAGCATGGCTCTCGCCCTTTTCCATTCCTGACGTCGACAACATTCTTTTGAAGGGCCATGGGACGAGGAGCAGCCAATTGTCGGACTATATGGAGACCACCTTTCCAAGTGCAGTGGTGATATTTGCATGATCTTAGTGTCTGTACATATATGTTCGTAATTTATTTCGTTCGCGAATCCGACAATTCTACGAGCCAGCAGTGCGTTGAAGACCGCTCGGCCCGAGCACTCCTCGTTCAGATCCCTGCGATGCGCTCATGCGCTCATGTGCGTGATCGGCCTAAGTCAGGCGGCGCAGAAGGACGCGCGCGACCGGGGACCATCGGCGTCTGTGGGTACGATGTGGCACTTGTAAGCACCCAGCCACAACGAGTGAGCACGGTACCTGAGATGGATATTGACCTTCCTAAAGGAGTAAAGGCGCTTGCCGGCTATGCCGTGTGTGGCTGAATTCCCGAGGTGTCACAGCCGCTTGCAGATCGATAGGCCGTCACTTCAGAAAGTCACGTATAGTCGGAGTGTGTCGGACATGGTGCCAGGGACGTCCCAGAAATGAAAAAGAAGTCCAAGTGGTCTGATATTGGGGCCTGGGGGACTTTAATTTCCCTCTCCGGCATGGTCCGACTGTAAATGATTTTCGAGAAATGGGCCCATCGAACTGCAAACGGCTGCAATGTGGCAGCGCCATACTCATTCTTGATGCGCCCGAGATTCTCATATTAACCAGCATCGCCTTTGCTACATATACTGGAACCGTATGCGACCTCCTGTCCAATAACACGATGCCGGACGTAACTAAACACAAAGCTTTTCCTGGCCTTCTGGCCTCACTGACGATCACATTCAACTCGAACAGTGCATCCGGACGTTTCAGCACAGCCAGATCCACCCGAGTGACGCCAAAAGCGAGACGCCTTAGACTTGGGACTACGCCCCAAGACGCGAGACCAAGGGGTCTTGAAAACCTTATTTTGCCACCCCACCTGAACGCCCCCCCTGGGTACCCCACCTCGCCCCCTCTGACTTCAACGCTCGAGCATCGGTCTACATACAGTACACGTCACCGCCTACGCTAGTATAATAAGGCCGTCCGCTACTCTGCTCGACACCCCGTCCTCGCTGTCTTCCCTGTCAACCACCATGCCCTTGCCGCTTCCGGCAGCGGTCCGGGTAGAAGTCTGGTAGCAGACCCCAACCCTAGGGCGTACCGCCACGTGTCTGGTGACATAGGCGCGCCGCTTCTTCGAGGCTGCGTCCCGCCTTTCCGGCACCTCGTCAGTAGGCCCGTCGTCGTCGTCGCCGACGATGAGCATAGCTATAGTACTTGTATGTAGTCATAAAAACATGGAATAAATTTCATTAAATACAGAAAATTCATGCTATTGCATTGACATGTACGCGGCGTCACTTAGACGCTCCGATCGAGCGTCATCGCCGTCAGGTTTGTCGTGCTCATTGTCTTCGACAGCGGCGGCGCACACCCTCGTATATGGCCTCAACAAAAATAATAAATTCATAGGATATTACATATATGCATTGACTCGTATTCCAGGCCATTTGTAGGCATAGAAAATGTCCAGATA